CCTCGCTGGAGGAGCAGCCGCACAGCGAAGCTGTTGGTTGCTGCCCAAAGTTGCATTCAGGGAGCTGCTGCTGGAGTTGCAGGGGTTGCATTCCGGGAGCTGCTGCCGGAGCTCCCTGAATAAGAAGGAACTGAGCTGCCTGGAGGTGTCCTTTCCACGCAGCCTGGTGGGGGGGTGTGTAGCAGACTTTGCAGCGCTTACCCCTGCTCCGTAGCGCACCGGTAATTTAGCTGAGGGGATGCACTCATTCCGTGTTGCGTCATATAAAGGTGTCCAACCATTTCCATCCACATGGGAAAACCAGAAATGAAGCCTTCCATTCATAGGTGCCAGGAACACTGAAGGGAGAGAGGGAAGGAAGTCAGGTAAAGAGAAGCGGGGTGAAATTTAACCGTGAGCTGCTTAGTGCTCACCTGTTGTCCCCTGTTGAAGTAGCTGTTCTGTATGGTGGGTACTGCCACTCCACAGAGCCAGCTGGAGCTCCTTCCAGCCCTGGGAGCTGCAATGAATACTAATTGGATTGGTTTTGAGCAATATAAGCAGGGATGCCAAGTGTTACATGGGAAGGGTATGGCAAAAGCATTGTCACCTCTGCCGCAGGCACCTCTGCGTTAACAGCGAGGTCATCCGGCAGTGCTGATGGCTACAGGAACCTCTGTGCTGCTGCTCTTATTTTCGCTACTGTGGATTACCGACTGAAAGAGAGATTTGACAGTTCTGGTGTGCAGCCTCTAAAAATAAAATGCTATTTTTTTCTGAGAAGTAGCCAGTATTCTGAGACACACCTGTGGCTCTTCTATCAAACACCGTCCTCTTTCAATTATTGCTGTGGGTCTGGAGATTGTTCCCCTTCCTTCATTGATAAGCTCTCATAGGTACAGCCACAATGAATAGTTCATAGCTCTCATAGGTACGGCCTTCAAGATGAATAGTTCATAAATGCCTGTTTTTAGGGAGAGAGAGAGGATTTTTAAAGCTTATAGCCAAGTTGTCAATTAGTACCTTGAAACCAAAAATACTCAGTTACGGGAATGATGGTCAAATAAACGTGCCCTTGCGGTATTACATCTGTATGGTCAGCTCAGCTTAGCTTGTACAAAGCAGCATTTTGAAGGAGCAACCATCATGATCAAATCAGATCAAAACAAAATCAGAGCAAGAGCCCTTTATTGCCCAGTAAGGCTTCCTAGCTGCTTTTGGAGGTAGTTCCTCCACAGGCAACATCAAGAAACTCAGTCTGAGAACGCCAGGAGTTTTACAGCTGCTCCAAAAGCAAGAATCAACAAACACAAATGGGAGATTTTTCCCTAAGAAAAACTAAAGAACTAAAGCTTGCTTTTTTCCCTAGCAACTTGTCACATGAAAGAGTTAAAAAACGCTCGCCTTCCTTACCAGCCATTCTGTTTCAGGGCTGCATATACCTGTCGCTGAGGGGAGAGAGCAGGACGGCAGCTCTCACAGTGGGGCTGTTTCTGAGCTCCATCCCCTGCTTCCCGCCTTTATTCACACACCGAGCCGGGCTGGGAGCTGCTCCCCCCTCCCGTGGTTCTCGCCCCCACTCGAGGGCAGGAACGCGTTAGCCCATCTTACACACTTACAAGTTTGGGGGGACCTTTTTTCCCAAAGGTGACAGGGTGATGGCAGGGTGGGGCCCAGTCACGGGCAACGGTGACAGGGGACCTGCGACAATAAGGTCCCAGAGTGCCAGCCCCGGGCGAGCAGGGACCCTCCGCCGCCCTGGGACAGGGGCTGAGCCCCGGCCCCGTGCCCTGCCCTGTCCCGCCTCGCCTCGCCTCCCATCACCTGCGAAGGGGAGCGGAGCGGGAGCGCGTGGAGGCGCGGCGAGGGGTGTGAGGAGATGAGCAAAGGCAGGCGTCGGTCTGGGACAGGTCAGGTAGCTCTGAGGGGACGGGAGTTGGCAGGAGTCATTGAGGAGGTACCTGGGGACGGGCTTTGGTGAGGGGAGCGAGGGGGAGAGGTTTTGGCAGGAATCTCTGAGGGAAGAGGGGAGGAAGGGTTTTGGAGACGGAAAGATAATTACAGGAACCTCTGAGGGGTGACCAAAGGACAGAGATTTGTGAGGAAGTGCTGAGGTGCCAGGGAGCAGGTGGGACACCCTGAGGAGAGCTGTGGGGAATGGGATTTGGGGAAGGCTCTGAGGGAGAAACGGCACTAGGTTTTGCAGGAAATTGCTGAGGCGAGGCACGGGAAAGTGGTTTTGGCAGGAATTGCTGAGGGGAGACACAGGGTCAAACCGGAGGGAATCTCAGAGGGGAGAGATTGTGGCAGGTTTTGATGGGAATTGTTGAGGGGAGTGATGCAGAAATATTTTGGCAGGAAATTCTGAGGGGAGATGGGGAACCAGGTTTTTTATGGGAAATGCTGGGGGGAGTAAAGGGCAAAGGCAATTACAGGAAGCTCTGAGGAGTGACACAAAGATAAGGATTTTTGTGGAAAGAAATAATGGCACGGATTATCTATAAGTAGAGGGGAACCATGGGAAAGAGAGGAAGCTCTAAAGGAGGCCTGTCTGAGAGGACACATGGAAATGGGTTGTGGTGGGAATTGGTGATGAGAGACAGGGAAAGAAAACTGTGGAAAGCACTGAGAAGTGATATAAAGATAAGAATTTTTGAGGAAGCACTAAGGGAAGAAATGATGTAAAGACTATGTGAATAACAATGAGGAAGAGGGATTGGCTGCTAGAATTGAGGAAACAAATATGTTTTGTAAAGAAATTACAGAGCAGAGACACAGGAATTGGTTGTGAATGGTATTGCTGAGGGGAGACACACGGCCATACTTCACAGGATTATGAGTGTAGATAGTGCAACAGGTTTAGATGGCAGTCTTGAAAATACTGTAATTCCATCAAACATCTATTATTACTAATAAAACAGATGTTGAAAATTAGAGAAAAATATTTTGTCCGTCAAATAGTTGACCATAATGGTATCACTATTTCCAGAACACAAGAAAAAGAAAAGACAACAAAAGGCAGAGCTAGCAAGTTCTGAGGCCGAAGACGCAAGTCACAGAAGACGTCGGAGAAGGAAAGGGACTCTTGACGCTGGCACCTTCATGTAGGCAGGGCTCGGGATGCAGATTGGCTTTCCCTGTTGCTCCTGAGCCACCTTGTTGCCCAGAGCAGCAAGGCCTCCCTGTAGGGAGGGCTGTGGTCCCTGCTCAGGTGGCCTGTTGTGGCTGACTGTGGCTGCCCTGTAAGGAGGGAGGAAGTCACCAGGCTGTCCATTTCTGGGGGAGAGGGAGCTCTTTAGAGGCCTGAGCCATGGGACCTCCCAGTAAATGGGGTCCTGGTCTCTGCACCGGTGGCACTATGCTGTGCAACATCAGCCTGCGTAGCTGTAGTAGATGTAGTTTTGTACCTTCCTCCACCTGGGAGAGGAGGAGGCTGGAGGTAGTGCCGCACTGTGCTCTTGTTTTCTCTTCTGGGAAAAGTAACCTGGAGAGTGAGTGAGAGAGAGAGAGAGAGAGAGAGTGTGTGTGTATGTGTGTGTGTACACACACACGCATGGGGAGGAGCGTGGCTGTTGCGGAAGGCATTGGTTTGGATGCTTAGGCCGTAACATACTGCAGCGTACTTTCCTTACCCTTCCCAGAAGCAGAAAGCAAGGAGCATTGTGTGCACTAACCAAAGGATTCTCCTGCCTTCCCCCAGGTGGGATTTGTGTGGGTACAGAGCGCATCCCCTTGCTGCCAAGGAGCAGGTGGGCTTCATATGAGCCCCTGTGGCAGGCACTCAGGCGTGATCTGCCTGTAAGCATGAAGCAGGTCAGCCTCCTTTGAGTTGAGCTGCTGATTGACGCTGCTCTGAGCATGGCAGCCCTACCTGGAGATTCCATACCATAAGCCTTCCCTATAAGGGAGATGCTGGCTGTGTGTCTCCCACTTTATGTG